TGTCAGGACACAGGCCTGGGTTGTGGGCTCAATCCCCAGAGTGGGGCGTGCAGGAGGCAGCCGATCAAAGATTCTCTCATTAGAGAGCGGAGGAAGCAGAGAGAGAGAGAAAGCACTAGAATAGAAGAGATAGCCGCTAGAGGCAGATCGAGAGACATGATCGAGCGAGCCGCCTCTATGAGAGACAGCTATTAAAGAAACAGCTCGAAGTAGGCAGACCTACGCGCCTAACGCAGCAAGCGATCGCTCTTCATCGCATCTCACCACCGCGCAATCCGCTAGATCTATACTATCTATCCTCCCTTCTTCTCTCTACTCTCTCTCTCTTCACTTCCATCCTCTCCTCTCTCTCTCCTCCCCCCTCCCTCCCTCTCTCTCTCTCTCCCTCCCTCCCTCTCTCTCTCTCCCTCCCTCCCTCCCTCTCCTTCTCTCTTCCTCTCTGAAATCAGTGAAAATATATTTTCTTAAAAAATACCCCATGGCCCTCCCAGGGCGTCTCGGATCCCAGTCACCGGGCTGAGCCCAGTCCGGGCTGGTGTTCGGAGGAGGCTGAGGCCAGCAGTCTGAGTGCCGCGTTTCTGGCCTGAGGGTGACATGGCTGAGCCCCTGTTTGTGTGCCGGTCAGTAAACACGTGTGGGAGGCTGGAGAGGGTTCTCAGGGCGGAACGTCCACATTCACCGGGAGCCGCGGGGAGCCGAGCGCTGCTGGCCGCCGGCACTGCGGAGGCATCGTTACCGAAACTCGACTCTGCCCCTGGAAACAGATCGCGTTGCTTCCAAAGCAGCCAAGCAGAAGCCGGGCAGAGAGGCAGGCGGAGGACACACTCACAGGCCCAGCAGCAGCTCCCCCGGCCGCCACCAGCGCCCCACAGCGCGGCGTGCCCAGCCTCTGAACTCGGTGACATCCGGCCGCCCGGCCCATTGTGCCCGCCAGGAGCCTTTCCTTCCTTCCTCTCAGGGAGGGATGTTTGGTCTGGGGAGGGGAGACGGCTCCAGTTGAAAGGAGTGCAGTGGCTGCTGAAACCTCTGCCGCAGGGAGTGCCTGCTGTTCACAACCCCGGATCAGCAGCATTCCGATCCTGTGCAGGCCGAAGGCAGGGTCCGCTCGCCCGTCTCCTTATCGGCCCCTCCTCTCCGTCCCCAGTGAGTGCTGGAAGCCCCGTCCGCCCGCCCGGGTCTGTGGAAAGGGGCTGAACTCCCCGCGATGTGAAGACTGGACAGATTGAGGGAAGGGGTTCCCTAAGACTCAGCGGAGGCCCGGGCCCTCCTCTCGGGCCGGTGGGCTCCCGCTGACACTCCCCCTCTCCACCCCGCTCCCCTGCTGCCCCTGCCGCAGCCTTGTCCTGGGGACCTGCCCGCTGGGGCTGGCAGAAACCGGTCTGTAAGTAAGAATGCCCAAAGGCACAGCCTGTATGAAAACCATCAGCTGCTTAGAAAGCCCTTTGGTGGTTACATATAAAGTATTGAGAGGCCAGTATTTTCAAATTAAAAAAAGGAAATCCCCTGTAAGTAGAATCCCGGAGGAAACTGAGGCAAAGCGGCTGTTTCACAGTGGTCACCGCTCTGGGGAGGTGAAGAGCTGTGCCCCAGGCACCCCTAACCGGCCCCTCTGTTCCTCTGACCTGAATGGAATGTAACCATACAGTCCGAGCTGGTTTGAATTCCATCGGGAGAGCCCTCCCCTCCTCCGGCTCAGCCTGGGGGCCTCCCTCCGGCAGCTCCTCCGTTCCCACCCCAGCACAGCGGCCTCTCCTGTCTCACCCCATCCCTGTCCCCTCCCCGCCCATCCCCGCCCTCCACACTGGCCGTGGGAACACCTCAGGGGAGGCCTGTGGCTGAGGCGCAGGGCTGGGCCCCGAGCCCTGGGGGGAGGGCGCCCCTGTGCGGAGCCACCTTGTTCCAGAAAACAGGCCCCGCCCACCTCGCCCTGCAGAACAGCTGCGGTGGCCTCGGAGGCCGGGGGCAGCCTGCCCTCCCCCAGCGCCGGGGTCTCCGCGCTGAGCCAGGCTGCGGCTGTGGGGGAACACCGAGTCCCAGTCCCGTGGCCCCGCAGGAAAAGCCACAAGGAGATGTAGGTGCAGCCAGAGGCCGAGTGCGGGGACACGCCTCCCCTCGGGCTTCGGGCTCCGGGCGGAGGTGTGAGCGGACCTGCCCTCTGCACTGTCTGCCCCACAAGCAGGAAGGAGAGTGCAGGGCCGAGTGCTTGCTTGCCGATTGCTGGCTTTGTGGGTGTTCAGATATGTCATCTCATGAAGTCCTAGCCATCGAACGGCTTTTAATAGCAGTTACACCCTGACGAAGCTGTTCAAAGGATAAACATGAACAGTAAAGCCAGGAGAGAGCAGCCATGAGCCCAGAGGCAGGACCAGGCTGCCAGCGTGGTGCGTGGAGCGAAGCGGAGGACATACGTGAGGCGCAGAGTCAGCAGCCCACAGCCTGCCGTCGGGGCTGAGAAACGTGGAGGAAAAGTGACGCTGGTCCCTCACGTGGCCCCGTGAGTGTGGACTTCAGTGGGTCAGACGTGGACCCGTGGAAGGCAATGTCCGGTCACTGCTACGCCTGACTCCTGACCCCACGGGCGACCCCAGCCCTGTCGGGGCGCGAACCTGGTGGCATGCGCAGTGCTCCCAGCATTTTCAGGATGGAGCCAGGCCCCCGGAGCGTGGCACCACAGGGGGACGGGCCTCTGGCCGGGAAGCACCGCTAGCGCCCGCCCCCCAGGTGAGGTGTACCTGGGGCAGGGTGCAGGGGGTGACCCTGCTGTCCACACTTCGCCCCGGTGCGGAGAAGCAGATGAAACCGGATCACACTGCCTGCACCGCAGCATCCTAGCATGCACAGCATCCACAGCATCCTCCAGACGGACTTCTAGGACAAGGTAACCTCACACTTTATTATAAAAACAGACGGCTCCCTCCCCGCACAGAGCAGTTAAACTGCCGCAGCACCGGGGCGGTTCCGGATTCGGCAGCCTCCCCTCGGCCCGCCTGCAGGGGCCTCAGGCGCCGGCGGACGGGGGCGCGCAGTAAGCTCCGTGCAGGACCGGCCTGCAGGCCGCGGGCCGTGGTCCGTGTCGGCGCGAGCTCAGCCGCCTCTCCGGTCAGGCTTCCTGGCTCGGCCAGCTCTCGGGCGCTGCTCCGGGCTGGCTCTCCGGGCTCTCGGGAAGGATGTGGGAGAGCCAGTAACTGAAGAAGGCGGACACCACTCGGGCTTGGTCTGCAGAGAACAGGGCAGAACCGCTCAGCAGGAAGCACCGGACACCGTCCCCCATGGGCAGCAGCCACGGGCAGAGTGGACGGAACAGGAGAAGAAAGGAGCTTTCACTCCATTTAACGGAGGAAACGGCCCTCGGAGCCCACAGCTCCAGGTCTGGAGACGCAGACATGCTGGACACCCCTCAAAGGCCACTCAGCGCCACGTCCTGACTCCTGACCCATGGGGTGACTGCCTGTGGGGCTTCCCTGGGGCAGGGCGCAGGGGGGTGACTGCCTGTGGGGCATCCCTGGGGCAGGGCGCAGGGGGGTGCCGCGGTGAGGTGTACCTGGGGCGGGGTGCAGTGGGGTGACTGTGGTGAGGTGTACCTGGGGCAGGGTGCAGTGGGGTGACTGTGGTGAGGTGTACCTGGGGCAGGGTGCAGTGGGGTGACTGTGGTGAGGTGTACCTGGGGCGGTGAGGTGTACCTGGGGCGGTGAGGTGTACCTGGGGCGGGGTGCAGTGGGGTGACTGTGGTGAGGTGTACCTGGGGCGGTGAGGTGTACCTGGGGCGGTGAGGTGTACCTGGGGCGGTGAGGTGTACCTGGGGCGGGGTGCAGTGGGGTGACCGCGGTGAGGTGTACCTGGGGCGGGGTGCAGGAGGGTGACTGCGGTGGGGTGTACCTGGGGCAGGGTGCAGGGGGGTGACCGCGGTGAGGTGTACCTGGGGCGGGGTGCAGGGGGTGACCGCGGTGGGGTGTACCTGGGGCAGGGTGCAGGGGGTGACCCTCAGTGGGGCGTACCTGGGGCGGGGTGCAGTGGGGTGACCGCGGTGGGGCGTACCTGGGGCGGGGTGCAGTGGGGTGACCCTCAGTGAGGTGTACCTGGGGCGGGGTGCAGGGGGGTGACCGCGGTGAGGTGTACCTGGGGCGGGGTGCAGGGGGGTGACCGCGGTGGGACGTACCTGGGGCGGGACGCAGAGGGGTGGGGCGTACCTGGTGGCAGGGCGCAGTGCTCCTGGAACGCCTGCAGGGCACCCTGCAGTGCTCCCCGGTCCTGTAGCAGCAGCAGTGCCTTCATGTAGCCCAGGGCCCGCAGGTCGGAGGGGGGCACGCTGCCCGCGGCCAGGCCCCTCAGCAGCGCCTCCGAGGCCTCCAGGAAGGCGGGGTCCGCGCCCCTGGAGACAGCTACAGGGAGAGGAGGCCGGAGAAGAGACTGGAGAACGGGGAGGCCAAGTGGGGAGGCCGCGCGGGGAGAAAGGCCCGGGGGCTGGGTGCCGCTCCGGGGCGCAGGGAGCAGCCTCCATTCCGGGCGCCGCGGGACCCGGACCCGGGACAGGACACGCCCTGCAGACGGCCAGGCCTCTGGGAGCAGCAAGGACACCTGGGCCGCCCGAGGACGGCGTGTCCTCTCGTCACCGCCACCCCCGCCAGGGCCGCAGACCCGTCTGCATCAGGGCGCGCGGAGAGCTGGGCGCCAAGGCCTTCAGGAGCTCCGAACACTCCCAGTGTCATCCGAGCCCTGTCCAGCGCCCAGCCCCGCCCGCACCTCTCCCCGCTCCCCCCCGCCCCCTCCCCCCTGCCCTCCCTCCTCGTCGCTCTGCTGGGCCCGCCTGCCAGCTGCCGTCTTTTATGCTGAGTCTAATCTGCTGTCTAAGCTCATGTTTGAGTTTTTAATTTGTTGTTACATTTTTCAGATCTAGGATTTCCATTTCAAGATCTTAATAGATTCAAATTAACTGGTGACATTCTCCAACTTCCCCTGTTTTTGAACATCTTGACTATAGCTACTTTAATTAAAATTCCCTGCCTGATAATGTCGGGCATATTGCACTTTTTTTTTTGTTTTAGAAATAGAGCCGATTCCAACATATTCCAACACGGACCGAGGGGCGCGCGCCGGGAGCCGGTGCTGGGAGCCGGGCCGCGGCCGTGCCTCCCGCCGTGCGGAGTAAGCTAAGTGTTGTTCGGGTCCTGGTGAGAAGAACCTCAGTGTTCTCATTTCTGCCTCAAAACTAACGGCTATTTTGGATATTGGTCATTTTGTATTGTAAGCCTTTAGATATTATACTATCTTTGATTACTTGTCCAAACAAGTAGATGCCATTATTAAAAAGAAAAGCGGGGAAAAACGTACCATCATAAAAATACATTTCCTGTGTCGACTTCAAAAAATCCAGGACACCCTCTGCCTGGGCGTTGGAGCCTTCCCGGTCCTGCTGGGCATCCACGCTGCCTTCCCAGTCCTGCTGGGCGTCCACACTGTCCCCCCGGTCCTGCTGGGCGTCCACGCTGTCCCCCCGGTCCTGCTGGGCGTCCACGCTGTCCCCCCGGTCCTGCTGGGCGTCCATGCTGTCCCCCCGGTCCTCCTTGTCCCCGGCGCCCCCTGGGTCCTCGGCGTCGGAGTCGCCCCCGCCGGCCCCCTCGCTGGAGTCCCCGGGCTCCGAGTCGCCCCCACCGGGCATGTACAGGAAGCTGAGGCCGGCGGCTTTGGTCAGCAGGCCGGCTGCTCGCTTCCTTTTCACCTGCTGCTTCTTCTTCAGCTTCCTCTTCTTGTTTTTGCTGATGGCGGGGCCGTCTGCGCCCTGGGGCTGGGGTCTTTCCTCTCGGAGACCCCGCTGTTCCTCTGACTGCGCCTCCTCCGCAGGAAGGCCGCTGGGACGGCCGGCTCTTTTCTTTGATTTATGCTTCCGAATCCTCCTTCTCTTCGGCTGATCGGGAGGCTCCTGATCTATAAAACACAAGTTCAAGACAACACTTTTCTGCATGATGAACCACAACAAGCATGTTAAACACATTTCCCTTAGGACCTTGTCATTTTAGAACAGGAATTAAAAACATTTAATTCTCAACTGTATCTCAACTGATTATACTCCCCAGGAGCCTGAGACTACAGTGAAGTAATTAACAGCCGGCTCGTTCTTAGAAAGAGGCCCATCAGACCTGCAAGGAGGGACAGACAGCTGCTCGGAGGGCTGCGGGCTCAGCTCCTCCGGCCGGAGCGCAGCTCCCCGTCCCGGCCGAGTCCCGGCTGGGTCCCCGGTGATGACACGGGGAGACGGGAGATGAGAGGAGTCTCAGGGAGCGCGGCAGAGCAGGCCGTGCCGGACAGGGCCTGGCCGGGCCGCTCCCAGCCGTCTGAGTCACCTCTGAGCTGTTTGGCACTGAATGAAGTTTCCTTCTTCACCCCACAGGCCTCGGGCTGGAGGGCTATCACACAGCTGACACAACCATGCTGTGCAGGTGCTTTCAGGATGTAGCTGCTGCAGTTCTATTGGGAGTAAAACGCATTCCCACGGCCACCCCCACATGGATGACGACGGTGTACCATGACTGGGTCGCTCTGCCTCAGCCGCTGAAGGGGGCTGAGCACCTGCTGCACCCTGGCTCCTGCCCGGGGCCTGGGCCCTCCAGCCCGCCCCCTGGAGCTGCGTTGCTGCAACTGCTCCGCTGGGACCCGGCTGTGACCGGCCTGATGGATGGGGCTGGGGCTGGGGCTGGGGACAGCCGGGTGCAGCCACACCCTCACCCTTCGGAGCAAAGCACAGGCCCTGCCCAGGGTCTCCCAAACCCTGCCAGCAGGTTCCAGCAGACTTCAGAGGAAGGTCCCTGCCATGGCCGGCAGCGGGCGCTGTCCCCACGTGCCCTCAGGTGCTGAGTGGGAGGGACGGGGACAGCCTGCTCAACCTGGATGCTGAGCCTGGACATCGGAGGGGACACCCAGCCTCCAGGGGGGACCTGGAATCTTTGTTCCTATGGTTTCTGCCCTCAGGGGCCCTGCCCTCAGACACCGGCTCCTCCCCCCTGCCCGGCCCTCCTCCCCTCCGGCCGGAGCACAGGCGGCTGCGCTGCCACCACCCACACCCCGCCTCCCGCCTGTCACCTGCCTCGGACCCGCCGCCACGAGCAAGGCGACAGGAAGCTTACTCGGAGCGGAGGCCTGGCTATTTATAACTGAGCGGCTCACTCATTCTGAAAAGCTGCCATCCCCAAACACACCTTTCTCTCACACGTGCTCACTGTAAAAATAGCCGCTGCTTGTCAGTCTCTGCTGCTGCCTGGCTCCCACGTCCGATGAGGCTGTAGTGGAAACAGCCCCGAAATAGCCGCCCCGCAGCTGCACGGTCACGTCGGCCCGAGCGGAGCATCTGAAGGAAACGGTTCTATTCATTCCGGACCCAACACCAAGGCTATCGTGCCCGTGACCCTCCTCGGCCTCCAGGGCTCCGGGCCCAGGAGGAGGCGGCACTGACATCCACCTGGACCTAAACCACGTGTTAACTATGGCGACACCAGGTGTGAACAAGCCACTGCCTTCCCACAGCTCAGCGTGTCTGGTCCCAACGCACTGTCACAGGCACTCAGCGGGCCAGCCCGGCCCACAGCCCGGGGCCCACAGCCCGGCCCACAGCCCGGCCCCACAGCCCGGGGCCCACAGCCCACAGCCCACAGCCCGGCCCATAGCCCGGAGCGCCCACAACCCGGGGCCCACAGCCCGGGGCCACAGCCCGGCCCACAGCCCGGCCCACAGCCCGGCCCCACAGCCCGGCCCACAGCCCGGCCCCACAGCCCGGCCCATAGCCCGGCCCCACAGCCCAGGGCCCACAGCCCGGCCCCACAGCCCGGCCCCACAGCCCGGCCCATAGCCCGGCCCCACAGCCCGGCCCCACAGCCCGGCCCCACAGCCCGGCCCACAGCCCGGCCCCACAGCCCGGCCCATAGCCCGGCCCCACAGCCCAGGGCCCACAGCCCGGCCCCACAGCCCGGCCCCACAGCCCGGCCCACAGCCCGGCCCCACAGCCCGGCCCATAGCCCGGGGCCCACAGCCCGGGGCCCACAGCCCGGGGCCCACAGCCCGGAGCGCCCACAGCCCGGAGCGCCCACAGCCCGGCCCACAGCCCGGCCCACAGCCCGGCCCCACAGCCCACAGCCCGGCCCACAGCCCGGCCCCACAGCCCACAGCCCGGCCCACAGCCCGGCCCCACAGCCCACAGCCCGGCCCACAGCCCGGCCCACAGCCCGGGGCCCCAGCCCGGCCCCACAGCCCACAGCCCGGCCCACAGCCCGGAGCGCCCACAGCCCGGCCCTACAGCCCGGCCCCACAGCCATCGACAGCAGCCAGTGCAGGCCCAGGAAGGCAGGCGAGCAGAGCCGGGGCAGAGCGGTGGCCGGCGTGGCCAGGAGCCCAGTCAGGGAAGGACGGTGTGCTGGGTTTGCCCTCCGAAATGGGACTCCACCTGGAGGCACAGGAGTGGGAGGAGGGCGAGCGGGGCCAGCCTGAACCTGCTGAGTGGCTCCTGCAATGGCGCCTGCGGGCAGGGACGCCTGACCAAGCTTGGAATGGAGACTTCACCTTATTTTTTTTTAATTTATTTTTTATTGATGTCAGAGAGGAAGGGAGAGGGAGATATTATAGAAACATCAGTGATGAGACAGAGTCATTGGTCGGCTGCCTCCTGCAGGCTCCACCCTGGGGATATCAAGGGCATGTGCCCTTGACCGGAATCCAACCTGGGACCCTTCCATCTGCAGGCGGTGCACTAGCCACTGAGCCAACCCATCGGGCTGGACAGATGCTGCCTTTCAAAAGCGGATGCTCTTTCCTAGTGGCTCCGAAAGCCTGCAGCTGTACCGGCCAGAGCAGGAGAGGCCGGACACTGGGCGCGGGGATGGGCCTGTGGCTTCACTTCGGGACCAGGATGTAATTTAGCTTTTAGTGCAAATCACATGGAGGCTGACAGTCTGAGTATTCGCAGCAGCTCACTCTTGTCTCATCACTTATTAATTACTGTGCAGGGGGCTCGGCTCCGTCCGGAAGATCGTCGGGAAGGCCCAGCTACTTAGCACCTTGTGCTTTTATTATCACAGAATACTAGTGTTGTGGTGCACAAAATTTGTGCACATTAAAAGGGAATTAATTAAATAATCTAATATTGCTATTTGCCCTTTCTCTATAATTGAATTGTCAGAGATGAAAGAAAATTAGTAAAATGTATATGAAAACCTTCCTCCTGTCAGATTCTGGGGCAAGTCTGAGGCACGTCACGGGAACCAGAGTCAAGTCCTCAGCAACCAACGTGTGCCTCGAAATCGTGAGATTCAGACCCAGCCGGCCCGACCCGTCACCTGGCCCAGCACCAGGGCGGGGGACGCGGCCTGAGGTACCCCAGCCTGGCGCCAGGACGGGGGTGAGGGGTGGGGGGTGCAGCCTGAGGTTCCCTGTCAAGCCCTGCTGGGCGGGGAGTGCAGCCTGAGGCCCCCCAGTCTGAGGTGCTGTCAAGCCGCACCTGGTGGGGGCACAGCCTCAGATCCCTGCCCTGGCCCAGCGCCCCTCAGCCTCAGCCCCTGCTGCCTGCTCGCTAAGGCTTGTTAGGGAACCAGGCCTCCGCTGTGGGCGCAGCCATCTTGTGCTGTGGGATCCCCGCCTCTGCCAGCCCACGGGGAGCCGTGCCTCCCCAGTCTGTTCTATTTCAGGGAAAGGAGCTCATCGCCCGGGAACGTGCAGGCACCACTTCCCACCCGCCCCTCTGTGTCCACCCTGTTTGCTGGGCCTCTGGCCGTCACCAGTGTGGGGTGCCCAGTGAGACCTGTCCGAGGCTCACAGGCGTAGAACAGCTCCCTCCTGGGCACTCCTCCCGGCACATGGCAGAGGCCTGCTGCCCGGCCTTCAGCTAACACATGAGCATGGGTGGGGGAGCCCCGCGGGAACGCGCACTTCCTCGCACCGCCTCCGGGGGCACACTTGCTCGTGTGCCCGAAAGCCCAGCAACAGCCTCAAGGAGGCTGCCAGCGCTGCCTGCGTGTGGGGCTCAGCTTCCCACCCAGACCCGCCTGGGACCGCACAGTGCCGCACAGGCACTCCCCGAGGCTCCTCAGAAAACTCTGGGTGCTTTCAGCTGGGGGGGGGGAGGGGGAAGGAGAGAGGGGGGCAGTTATTAACAAGCTGGCTTCATAAAATGGGTTCGGCTGTTTTAGAAAGTGCTATCAGCACGTCTCCGTGAACCGAGAGGGAACCTGCACAGCACTGAGAGCGACGGGCAGGGACGGCACCACCGCAATCTCTGTCTGTGTGCCACACGCGTGGGGGGTGCACCGTGTGCGACACGCACGGGCGGCGTGTGCAGGGCCGGAGCCGCCTCGGGCTGTGGGCCCCTGCGCACGTGTTCCATCTTGTCATAGTCTATAAAACGAGACTCTTCAAAACTAACACTTCTGCCAAAACCGGTTTGGCTCAATGGATAGAGCATCGGCTTGGGGACTGAAAGGTCCCGGGTTCGATTCCGGTCAAGGGCATGTACCTTGGTTGCGGGCACATCCCCAGTAGGGGCTGTGCAAGAGGCAGCTGATCGATGACTCTCTCTCATTGATGTTTCTAACTCTCTATCCCTCTCCCTTCCTCTCTGTACAAAAATCAATAAAATATATTAAAAAAACAAAACAAAAACACTTCTGTTAGGAGAAAAGCTTCTTTTCCTTTTAGAAAAATGACCCCCAGGACGTGTCTGCACCTGCTGTGGCCCCGAACCGGTGGCTCCCCAGGAGAGAAGGCACCCCCCAATCGTGCTGACGGCCCCACGCACCCGGCAGCACAGGAAGAAATCAATTCACAGAAGGTTGTGCCTCACAAGCAGCTTATAAAAATGTAACTTGTAATAATGGTGCAGTCAAAAGTTACCACCGACTCTGCCAGGTTACTATGGCAACTGAAACAGAATAGATGGCGCTCAGTTCCCCTTTCTTTACATCTTAGAGAAACCGTCTGCTCTACTGCCCTCCGTCAGAGCAGAAGCCGGCGGCAGGCCCACCCCAGCTGCCTTCCCGGAGGAGGAGGCACCAGGCCAGCCGGCCCCTGGACAGGAAGCGTGATGGCCGGTAGGGTCAGAGCACACGGCTGGCACTGCCATTGTCCTGTCTCCTGTCATCTAGCTCAGCCTTGGAGCGGGCCGGGAGGTGGAGCGGTCTGGGACAGCCCCCGGCCTCAGCCCGGCCCCGCACACCTGCCCTCGGCCGCAGCCGAGTCTCACGGAGACTGCACAAGGCCTACTCGCAAAGCCATCGATCCTCACAAAGACAGTACCATGCTGTGGGTATCAGCTATTTGTCTAGTAATTGTATCCTAAAGGTTTTCATCTAAAGGAATTCACCTAAAGAAGATGAATCTATTACTCCCTGGCAACTCCACTTTCGGGTTTGTGGTTTCTGAGCCTTTAATTGGGAAGTCAGGGAGATCAATGAGCTAGAAAGCCACATTTTTAAACACTCCAGTTAATTGAGGTCTGAGCACAGCTTCCGGCTTACACCTGGTGAAAACAAGCTGGGTCTGATTTTATTTGAAAACACACATTCCTCCACACACAGGAAGTCTGGAGTGATGACTCTGAGGAAAAGCTACCTTTGCTTTTCAGGCAGAAACCCCGGGGCAGCAGCTGTGACCGGAGAGCAGAGAGCCAAGACCGAGAGGAGAGAGTAACTCCATTTCCCCACAAGGGAGGTGCAATCAAGCGGCTCCCACGAGCACAGCGCTGGCCAGGTCCGGAAGCAGGGAAAGTTACAGGAAGCCAAGACGCGCGAGAGACACGGAGATGCCCTTAGCAGGAGGCCTCCTCCCGCGGTCACACCCTCGCCGCCCACCGCGTGGCTGTGCGGGGACAGGCTCCGGCCTGAGGATGGGCACAGCACCGGGTCACCGGGAAAGCATGCTCTCACCTGCCGCGTCCTGGCAGCCGGAGGAGCCCTCGGAATCCGTGCAGCTGGGCACCTCCGGCTCCGGCTCCGGCTCCGGCTCCGGCTCCGGCTCCGGCTCGGGCTGGGCAGGGGCAGGAACGTAGCCCTCAGGAGGCAAGGCCACCGTGTAGAGCCGCCGGCCAGGCGGGGTCCCAGTGCCGCCACCTGCAGGAGGAAACGGGCACATCAGGGGCCAGGCAGCCACGCGGGGTCATCACACTGAGCCCCAAACCGGTCCCGGGAGCCGGCAGTGAGCTCCACCCGCTCAGCGCGGCCCCCACGCACTGCCCACATTGCCAGGCCGCTCAGCCATCATTCACAGTCACCTCAGGCCACTCATGTCCGCTCTGGGCTCTGATGACACAGACAGAACTCACTAACGAGCAGAAAATTCCCCACAGAGCACACCCAGCCTTGTCACGAGGGTCTCAACATTTTGGTGGCATAATCTTCTGGACCTTCCTCTCCATGAACGCTAACAATCCATATACACAGTGCATGTGCATGTGTGTGTACACACAGACACACACGCAGACACATGGGATCAGCGCACCTTTTATTATAAAACATAGGTCATACACTTGTATAATATATGTATATAAAATTTCATTCAAAAGTGATTTAAAATAGTCTTTTTTTTTTCAAGAAAAAAATATATTTTAAATATAATAATACTAGAGCAGTGGTCGGCAAACTCATTAGTCAACAGAGCCAAATATAAACAGTACAACGACTGAAATTTCTTTGGAGAGCCAAATTTTTAAAACTTAAACTTCTTCTAACACCACTTCTTCAAAACAGACTTGGCCCATCCATGCCCTTCAACCCTGACTCCGGTCCCCCTGGGCCCCAGGCCACAAGGCTCTGCTCACAGAGGCTTCCAAATCTCGCCAAACACAAAAAACATTCCTAACATTCTCCCGGCCTCGCTGTTTGCTCCAGTGTCCCGTACCTCCTCGCTAGGTTCCTTTCTGTTTCTGTTAAACACAGCGGTATCCTCTCAGTGAGGTGTGTGGGTGGTGAAATCCCTTAAGCTTTGTAAAATGAACACATCTTTAGAGGATTCTATTTATTATATACTAACCAGTGACCTGGTGCACGGAATCCGTGCACATTAAAAGGGAATTAGAGGGAATATTTTAATATTGCTATCTGCCCTTTCTCTATAATAGGATTGTCAAAGATGAAAGAAAACAGGTAAAATGCATATGAAAACCTTCCTGCTGTCAGAGTCTGGGGCGCACCACAGGAACCAGTGTCAAGTCCCTACCCACCCATGTGCGCCTCGAAATTGTGTGAGACCAGACCTGGCCAGCTCCTCCCCCATTGGGCTAGATCCAGACCTGGTCGGCCCCACTCCTGTCAAACCCCCAGGGTCGGGGGAGCAGCCTTGGGTCACCTGTCCTGGCACTGGGGCAGGAGGTGGGCCTGAGGTCCCATCAAGCTCTGCTGGGTGGGGAGGAGCAGCCTCAGGTCCCCTGTCAAGCCCCACCAGGTGGGGGCGCAGTCCCCGTCCCTGGCCCAGCACCAGGCAGCCTCAGTCCCTGCTGATTGCTCGGTAAGGCTCTTTATGGGAACTCAGCCTTCACGGTGGGCCCAGCCATCTTGTGTTATGGGATCCCTGCCTCTGCTGTGGGCACAGCCATCTTGTTAGGGCGTGATGGTCAATTTGCATATTCCTCTTTATTAGATAGGATAGGCGCTACAACCACATGGCGCTAGGTAAACACAGGACGTGCGGAGCCACATTCCCCTCCGTGAGGCAGCTCCTCGGTCACGTCCTCCTGCGTTTGTTCCTCAGGCGACCCGTATATGTGCCAACACCACACACCATCCCCCCCTCCCGGACCCCTGGCCAGCATCTCCCCTGCTGCTGCCCCTCCTGGGGTCCCCTGGCGCTGCCCCTTCCTGCAGCACGGGCGCCTTCCCCGGGACAAGCTGCTGCTCTCCTCCTCCTGGGAACGATGATGTCATGAGTAACCTTGAACACGCCTGTTCCCGCCCCCTGAACTTCAAGGTCAGGTAAAATCGCTCAGGTGTGCCCGCCGGAGCCCTGGTGCACACCCGTCACCTTCCATGGACTCCCACGGCTCTTCCGGGACGGTCTGTGGCGATTTTCGCCTTAGCCAGGCTGAGTGCTTGCCCGCGGTTCTAACACGGTCAGCAGGTTCCTGACAACCTGACGCAGGACCCGCCCAGTGCCCCCTCCGTGGGCTTGCGGGGCCAGCGGAGGGAGCCGTGCTGATGCTGAGGAGCCACGGGGGTCTCCTCGGCCGCCTGTCATGCTCCTGTGCCATGTCCTTAAGCTGTGGCTCACGCTGTCATCAGCACGAAGGAAGGAAACCCTCTGCCAGGACCAGCTGCCTGTGTGCCCGCCGACCTGGCTGCGGGAGGACTGCCATCCTCCCGGGACAGTGACCGCCTTCTGCTCTGTGCTCGGCGGCTGACAAGCCCCTCAGGGCGGAGCTCCCGGCTCCCCCTGGTCCGCACAGCTCCGACACTTCAGAGTGAATGCGGCCTCTTCAGAGAAAGCGTGGCCTGAAGCATTCCTCCTGAGACCGTCCCTCCGTGGCGGGGCACGTCCAGCAAGCTCTCCGTCCGGCCGTGTTCCAGATCTGAGCGTCCAACCCCAACCCCAGCCTCAGGGGCCCCGAGGCTCCCCTCGGACGTGTGACTGAGAACCGAGCTCCTCGCTGTCCCCGAGGGAGGCTGAGAGCAGGCGTGGGCTTCTCCTCGGGGTGCAGACAGCTGTCCCTCCGTGTGCATGTCGTGTGAGCTTCCAGGACACGGTGCAGCCCCCAACGGCACTTTCTTTGAAGGGTGAGGACCCAGTCGCCAGCCCCCGTCCCTCCCACGAGGCTGGCCGGCGGTCCTGTCCATCCGACCAGCTTGCAGACAGGCGGCCGTGGAGGAGCCAGGTGTGCGTCTGGGACTCCCCGTGACCCACGAGCCCTCACCTGCCAGCGGGGGGACGCGCCGCCATCTCTCCTTCTGGGGAGGGGTTTCGGAGGCTGCAGGCAGAGGCGCCCCCTTTCCTCGGCCACGTGGATCCTGAGGAAAAAGTCTCTTCAGCACTTTTTCAACAAACACTGAAATGCAACCAATTAACAAAAACAAAAAAGAGAATTACTTAAAGCAGTTCTATTTAAATTGCCTATAGTTTATTTAAAAAAAACATATTCTAATATTAATACCAGAAAGAAAGGTGCCTGTCCCCCCAGGACCCCAGCTAGCACTGTGCGAGCAGGGAGCGGGGCTCCCACAAAACGCAGCAGGAGCGCCAGGCCAGCCAGGCAGCTCCCCCTAATGGCAGGGTCCCAGCACCCCTCCCCACCCAGGATGGAGGTGTAGGGAGGCTTCAGCTCCCCCCCCAATCCCCCCGAGCGCCAGCACGGGGGGGGGGGGGGGGCTGCCCACTGTCCAGGCTGGAGGAAGCCACCGAGGCACACCTGGGATGTGGGCCCTTGGGGTTTACCTCGGTTACCGCCCAGCGGGAAAGCACATTTCAAACAACTGTGCTTCCTGCTCAAGGAGCCCTGCTGCGAGGTCCCCCGTCCTCCCGTCCTCCCTCCCGTCAGCCCCAGCAGTGCACCATCCTCCTGGGAACCCACGGCATCCCCTGAGCGAGGGCCCAGAGCGGAGCTGTCCTTTGCCTCAAGCAAACGGACTGCTCTGGAGATGCAGCCCGCCCCCGCCCCCCGCCCCCCGCCCCCGAGGGAACCGCCGGACCGCCCCAGCCGAAGCCGCTGGGGCCGCGGCGGCCGCAGCTCCTGCGTGGACCAGGGAATGAGCTCCGTGTGTCCACTTCCCGAGTTCCCTCTGTAAGTGCCCACGCGGCCGTGTCCTCCGCCTCAGGGCAGGCAGGGCAGGTGCAGCCACCGCCCTCTCCGCCGCCAACCACCCCCCCCCCCCAACTGTCAGCCATCCCAGGCCACAGAGCGGTGAAACGGAAGACAGGGCGCCTCTGGCTTTCATGCTTCGCCCAAGACCAAGTGCTGAATCTGTTCCAACCACAAACTCCCCGAGGTGGTAAACATCTTGACCACCGCTGAGAGAGAACCTCACAGCTGCCATCCCAAGGAGCCATCTTTGTAACCGCAGGAGGCAGTGGCTGGAGCGGCCACACCTGTGGGGCCATCGGGCTGTGGGGCCATCGGGCTGTGGGGCCATCGGGCTGCGGGGCCATCGGGCTGCGGGGCCATCGGGCTGCGGGGCCATCGGGCTGTGGGGCCATCAGGCTGTGGGGCCATCGGGCTGTGGGGCCATCGGGCTGTGGGGCCATCGGCCTGTGGGGCCATCGGGCTGTGGGGCCATCGGGCTGTGGGGCCATCGGGCCTGTGAGGCCATCGGGCTGTGGGGCCATCGGGCTGTGGGGCCATCAGGCTGTGAGGCCATCAGCCTGTGAGGCCATCGGGCTGTGGGGCCATCGGGCTGTGGGGCCATCGGGCTGTGAGGCCATCGGGCTGTGGGGCCATCAGGCTGTGAGGCCATCAGGCTGTGAGGCCATCAGCCTGTGAGGCCATCGGGCTGTGGGGCCATCGGGCTGTGAGGCCATCGGGCTGTGAGGCCATAAGGCTGCATGCGACCTTAAACTTCTGCAGAGGGGTCAGGCTCAGGGCTCAGCGCCGCTGGGTACCGGAGCCTCCCTTCTCCAGGGTGACGGAGGTCACAGGGCATGGTGAGGGCCCTGCCTGGGGCGCTGGTTAAACCTGTCACTCAGCCATCACCACCGTGTGCCCCGCCATCACCTCCAGTTCAGTCACAGAGGGCTCAGGTGAGCACCCGCCGCGGGCCCTGCCTCCGCCATCAGGGCCTTCACCCTGGAGGTGCCCGCTGGGCCCTGGGGTCCCCGCAGGCCTTGGAGCCCCTCGGACACCGGGGAGGCTGCGGGTCCCGGGACAGCCTCCCCCGCCGGCGGCCGGGTGTGGAGTCCGGGGACGTGGACCAGGCCGGGCCGAGTGCTGTCCGAGCGGCGGGTCCCCGAGCTTCCGCCCCCGCCCCGCCGCCGCCGCCCCCGCCGCCGCCGCCCCCGCCGCCGCCGCCCCCGCCGCCGCCGCCCCCGCCGCCTACCGTGCCTCCGCGCCGCAGCCATGCGGGTCCCACGACCCCCGACCCGCCCTCCCAGCTCCCAGCGCTGCTTCCGTATCCGCCCCTGCAGACCCGCCCACAACAGCAGGCGTGCCCAATCCGGGCCCAGGCTCTCCGCCATTGGTGCCCTTCAGCCGCGCCCCGGCTCTGGATTGGCTCTCTGGGGTCTGTGGGTCTGTGGGCGTGGCCTCCGGGAGCCTCCGCTCCTGAAGACCCGCCCACAAAGCAGGCGTGCCCTATCCGGGCCCAGGGCCTCCGCTATTGGTGCCCATCAGCCGCGCCCCCGCTCCGGGTTGGCTCTAGGGAGCATGTGGGCGCGGCCTCCGGGCGCCTGGGCTCCGCGCACACTCCGAGGAGCCGGACTGAGTTCCCGGTGCGGCGGCCCCTCGGCGGGGCCAGAGGGGTCCCCGGGAGGGATCGGCGGGGCCGGAGGGGTCCCCGGGAGGGATCGGCGGGGCCGGAGGGGTCCCCGGGAGGGATCGGCGGGGCCGGAGGGGTCCCCGGGAGGGATCGGCGGGGCGGCGGGCCCGGAGGGGTCCCCGGCAGGGATCGGCGGGGCCGGAGGGGTCCGCGGGCGGGATCAGCGGGGCCGGAGGGGTCCCCGGGAGGGATCGGCGGGGCCGGAGGGGTCCCCGGGAGGGATCGGCGGGGCCGGAGGGGTCCCCGGGCGGGATCAGCGGGGCGGCGGGGGTGGTGGCGGAGGCGGCGGGGCGGGGTGAGGGCTGCCGCGCGGCCTGGGAAAAGGGGGTCCCACAGGAGCCGGCGCCCGCGTCCGCACCAAGGCCTCCTCCCGCCCGCACCCCACCCCGGGACCTGGGTTTGCCCCCTCCCCGGAGTATGTCTTGGGAAACGTATTTTGGAGCGATGTCGGTCACTGTTCTGCATGCTGGGTGCCCCCACGAGGGATGGGGTGACAGTGTGAAGGGAGGTGTGAACTTGGGGGAAAAGGGCAGTGGGGGGTTCAGGGGGGCAGGTGGGGAATCAGGGAGCCTCAGGGAATCTGAGCCGGGCTCCCAGCAGGGGCAGCCAGTGTCCCAGGCCCTGAGGGTTGTGTTCGGGAGCAGTGAGGGCACAGGGCCAGGCGGGTGAGGGAGTGAGGGATGGGGTCAGGCTCCAGGTCGAGGGAGAGCTTAGCTTTGTGTTTTCCAGCGGGCAAGGTGGAAGGGCACTTGTTTGGGACACAGTGAAGTCATCTGACATCCGGAAGAAGTCCTTGGGGCCGCTGTCCCCAGAGCAGATGTCGTTGGAGGAAGCACGGAGCCCCGGAGGCCGTGGCTGTAAGGAAGACCTCGGTGGCCGGCAGCATGGGCAGTGGTGGGGAGAGATCGCTGGGTTTGGGATCCATTTGGAGACTGAGCCAAAGAGGTTCTGGCTGAGGACGTGTTGGGCTGTGGCAGAAGAGAGGAGTCCGATGGCTCCAGTGTGCGGTCTGGCCACCCCAGGCCAGCGATTCACCGAGGACCGCCGTGGGGCTGCCTGAAGCTGAGCCCCGGAGCCATTTGTCTCTAAGGGTGCTGATGGGCGAGGCAAAGCCTGATCCCAGGCAATTGGACTTGCCCAGTGCAGGTAGTCAGGGGCCTTGGCGACGGTGATGGTGTTGGAGCGGTGGAGGCCCCAGCTTGGTGGGAATCCCAGAGAGAAGCTTAATACATGGCACATAGACCCCTCTCTACTGGGATCCGGGGAGTGGGTTGGCAGCTGGCGGGCTTTTAAAGACAGAACAGCCCTCGCTGGTTTGGCTCTGTGGATAGAGCGTCTGCCTGTGAACGGAAAGGTCCCAGGTTCCATTCCGGTCAAGGGCACATGCCTGGGTTGCAGGCTCGATCCCAGAGGAGGGGCGTGTAGGAGGCAGCTGATCCCTGATTCTGTCTGATCATGGATGTTTCCATCTCCCTCTTCCTCTCTCAAATCAATAAAAAAAAAAAATCTAAAAAAAAGACAGAACACACGCCACATACACATATAATCAAAAGAGGGTTAAAAACACACAGCAGAACACACACCACATACACAGCTGATCTGTGTGTGAAGCACCTGGTCCCGTTGAGCTGGGATAATGAGCGATGGAACAGGAACGGCATGATAAGAAAAGCGCTAAGACCTACACGGACACAGGAGACAGGCAGGAGGCAAACAAGCACAGGGAAGGGAGCTCCAGCGCGTGCCATCAGGCGAATGGCATACAATGCCAACTAAAGCCACCATGTGCCACACCGCACGCCTGTTGGAAAGGCCAAACCCAGGCACAGACCACGCCTGGTGCTGGTGAGGAGGAGGGGCCGTGGGAACCGCACGCACTGCCGGAGGAAACGGAAACGTGCAGCCACTGACAAGACAGTGTGGTTGTTTCTCCCAAAATGAAGCATACTCTTCCCACGCCTCCTAGCAAACCCCGGGAGGCGAGGACGCACGTCCACTCAGGACCTGCACAGCAATTCTCAGCAGCGTCGCTCACAATTGTCAGAACTCGGAAGCATCTGAGATGTCCTCTCCATAGGCGGTGGGTGAGCCGTGGGACAGCCACAGTGGAGTATTCAGCTAAAAAGAAATGAGCATCGGGTGCCCCTGAGCCTTCGACTGCTGAGCGCGGGCAACAGAGCCAAGGCGGGGGGCTGCTTCCTGGGCGGCGCCGACCCCGGCAACAGGCTGAAGCAGCGCAGGAGCCCGCGGAGAACAAAGGGGTGCCACAGGCCAAGAAATGAGCATCAAGCCATGAAACCTGTCTTAGGTTCTACAGCAGCGGTTAGAACTGCTATCGGGGTCCATCAGAAAGCACAGTTATTCACATTACAATTCATAACAGTAGCAATATTACAGTTATGAAGTAGCATGGAAATAATGCTATGGTTGGGGTCACCACCACATGAGGAGCTGTGTTAAAGGGCCGCGGCATTAGGACGGTGGAGAGCCACTGCTCTAAACGAGAACAGAGACCGTCAAAACCTCAGCCGTGCAGAGGAGGGGAGCCGAGCGGGACCCTGCCCTCGGCGAGGTGGCCTATGAGCCTGGCCTTCTCTCCTCTGAGTCCCCAGCGGCCCTCCGGCCTCTGGACCTCTGACCTCGGCACCCACGTGCTTCCCTCCTGTCCCCTCAGCCGGCTTCCACTCTGTCCTCCACCACTGGCCGCGCTGCCCGTGTGTCTGTACCCACCCCTGCTGCAGTCCGGAGGACTCACTCACCAGTCCCTGCGCTCCGTGGGCTCCCAGGAGCGCCACCCACCACCTGCCCAGCGGGGCCTGGGACTCAGGCCCTCCTCCCCGTCCCCTCCTCACAGCCCCTCCACAAACAACGCCCGCTCCCGCTGGCTCCCGCTGGCTCCCGCTGGCTCCCGTCTTCAGGGCCACCAGCTGGGAGTGCCCGGGCATTCCAAATGGGATCTCCCCAGGTCCTCACTCCCAGGCATCTCCCTCTCTCCTCCCAGCAGCCACAGGGATGTCTCAGAACTCTCATTACCGAGCAGAAGTCACGTCGACAAGCTAAAGAACAACCACGTGATCCTGTCAATGGGCGCAGAAAAAGCATTTGATGTATTTCAGCGAAGTGCCAAGTCCAACATAAAAAACCCAGCGAACTGGGAAGGGGGGACTTCTTTGACTTGATGAAGAACACGTGCAGGAGCCGCAGCGGATGCCACGTTCACTGCGGAGAAATAAGACTCTCCCTCCGGCCCTCACGGCCCCTCCCCACCCCTCTCTGACCCCAGGGGGAAGCCATGGCTAGTGCCCTGTGAGCAGCAGAGGAAACAGGCATAGAGGCCGTGACTGGCTGTGCAGAACATATCTCCCTGCTCAGAGCCCCGCAGCCAACTTCATCGCGTCCGGCAGACAATGGGGTGGTGAAGGCTGGGGGGCAGGGGTGGGCTGGAGGGGGCAATGGGGGAAGAAGGGGGACATGTGATACTTTCAACAATAAACAATGATTTGGACAGAGTCCCTGTGTCCAGGGAATAACTCAGAGCCCATAAATGTCCTTCAGACCCAGACGTGCAGTGCAAAGGTGTTCACCCGCCCCCTTCTCATTTTGTCCTGGTTCCTCCGACTCTCCCAGCACCAGGTGCTCCCCCTCCACCACCCCTGCCCTGGCACCCTACCTGCTCTCCTGGGGAGCAGCCCATGCTGAATGCCCACTTGACCTCCTCACTGGCACCTCAGACCCTGTGGGTCCACCTCCCGGCTTCCTGGGAGCTGCTCAGCCAGAGGAACCCGGGGGTGAGGGGGGGAGATAGGGGTGGGAGTGGGAGTGCCAATCACTGGGTGATGGAAGTCAGATAAAAAACGTCCACCTGCCAGCCTGAGGGGGCATTCCTGGGGCATTCCAGAGGCCCCGCCAGTCTGAGCCCCTTGTTGACAGGTGGCCAGCTCCGAAACGCACCCCAGCCGGTTCCTCTCTCCACACAAACGCCTGTGCCCCAACCCACGCCCCAGGACCTGCTCCTGGGAAAACCGGAGAGAGAGGAAGATGTGTCTCCCTGACCCCACCCGCTGACTGGGCCCTTGTACTCTCTCCAGCTCGGCCCTATCCCTTCCCGCCGGGAAGCGGCTGGGGTCGGTGCTAGGCTCCTCCTGGGGCTGGCTGTTTCTCCGTGTGTTCTGACCACACATGGAGAGCCCGTGACCCGCCCTCGGCACACTTCGGTCATGTGTGTTGTGGGGTGCATGAGTGAATAAATACATGCACCTCAGAAAGATGAAGGCAGGAGGACACAGACGAAGAGGAGGAAAGTAAATTTTAAAATAAAAAATATTTATTTTGCATCTGGTTTTCGGGGTACAGTCTGGCACCCACAACCCACTGGCTTCTGACCGTGGAGACCACACTGAGGGGCACTGGGACCCCCAGAACCTGGGCCGTGGCGGGCGCTTGGCTGCAGGCCATGTCCTCGCTGAGCACAGCTCCACGGAGAAGCTGGTGGGACACTGCTCCTTGGGAAGGAGCCTGCGGATTTCTGGAGAAGATCGCTGTGTCCCATTCTGAGTCCTTTCACCCCCTGACGGCTTTTCCTGTTCAAATCCCCATCCATTTCCTGGAACATCTCACCCAGGTGCTTCCTCCTCTGGCAGCTCTCCTCTCCTCTC